TGTCATATTTGAATATGGTCTAATAGGACCACACCAGGATTCCTGAAATCTGTAGGGGAATGTGCTTTTGATTGATGTTCTATTTACTATCGATTAGGCCCTAGACATTATGAAATTATATGTTAACTTGTAAATTTTTGTCTAGCACACATGAAAATGATTTCTGTTCACTAGAAAAGATTAACCCAAAAGGTTCCAGTTTTATTATTGCCATGTACACAGGATATTAATGTGAGCTCTAATTTAGCAAACTGATTTCAGAATATCGCCCCCAATTAACTGTACAACTGTCTGTTTCTCAAAAGACCTTTGAATTATTTTAGTGGTCCCCTCACTAATGGGTTGAATACATCTTGGACGCATACTCAATCTAAATTTGAATGAGTCATCTTTTTGGCTTGTAAAAAATTACACTGTGTCTCTTGTTGTGAAGACAGCACTTATCCAAAGTTCAATAATTCTTTTGGTTTCTTATTCCTCTTAAAATTCAAGCAAAGCAGATTAGATATTCTTTATTGGATGTATTGCTTTAAAACCAGAACAGAAGAATAAATGTTGTTTTTAGAAAAATAATTCAGGCCAAGGGATGCTCATAAGGCAGTTGGGGCAAGACAGCTGGAGGTGGATTGTCTGGCAACTGGTGTTCCATCCTGTGAGCAAGTGTCCTTATTCGTGGGCCCCTGATATCTGATTTTAGCTTCAGGTTTGTCATGCAGTCTTGAACTTGACTGTCCCTGGGGTTGGCACAGACACGTTGCCCCTTCTTGGTGTAGAAGCTGGAGACAGGGGGAGAAAGATCACACACTGAGGTGTGTTCAGCCAATGGAGAAGGGGAGCCCCATCCTCCCTGCCCCTTGGATTCCTCATTTGAAACAGCCTGTCCTTCCCCTTCTCAGCTGGTGGCAACTCATACCCAATACCTTGTGAGACCCTCCGTCAGCCTGTGAGACCCTCTAGTGACTCCTGGGCATGTCCTTAGGCAGCCTTGTGTCTGCTCCTTCCTTCCTTCCCTGCCCTTCTCTCCGCTGGGGGCATCTCATCCCTGATTCCCGGAGGGTGCTAGTAAGCACACAAGCTGCCCCTTACCTGGCAGGATGCAGAGGGTGGGACTTTTCTGGACACCCACCCATCAGGTCCTCCCTGTAAGGCCCTGCAGCTTCCTTCCCCCCACACATGGTCGCTGAGCTTGCCACTTACATGACACCAGGCTGGGAACAGCTACTGCTCGTTACAAAATAATCTCTCATGAATACACAGCGGATCCTTCTTGAGGTGTAGGATAAGCAGCAGTCAGCAGGGCGGTGAAAGCCTGCAGGTAGAGAAAGGACCACTGAGGGGCAAGCCTTTTTCCTCAAGAGCACCGTGCAGGGTCGAAGGTGCAGGACTCAGAAGAGAGGATTCCTCCACCCTTGTTTCACACCCTCCCCTGGTTTGGGCTGTGTGTCTGAGGACAGCCAGGGTGGGCCACCACAGGGCCAGGAGCATTCTCCCTAGAAGAGGAGGGCATCTGCAGACACCTGCAGGTGTCAGAGAGCACCCTCTGCCCAGGGGAGCAGAGTCTTGGGTCAGCCATGGGGGAATAGAGAAGGCAACGGTGAAGGAGGTCCCCATGGCCATCCTGATCTTCCTTGGAGACGTTCACCACCTTCAGAACCCTCCTGTTCTTCCCCCCTCCTGTAAATGGGCTGGCTGGAGGCCATAGTGAAGATCTGTACCTCCTTGCTGCATTTAAAATAATATGCCATATCTGATGGTTTACCACGAATCATTGGACGTGTCATCTTATGCATTTCCATCATGAGTTCTCTTGTCTCTGTATCTGTAAGAAACAGACAGGGCAGGGAGAGAAATGGCTGGAAGGCAGCATTGTCTCAATATCTCCACCTGTCCACCTCCTCACTCTCATCCTGATGGAGAGGCTCTGATTTTGGACCACTGCCACTTGCCCGGGCAGTGGCAGGAAACAGGGTTCTAGCCCTGTTTCCTGGCCCATTTGTTCCATTAGGGCCCTGAGATTCTGGAGACATGGAGACGGTCTGTTAACTTTGCAGTATTAACATCAAGCTGTACATCTAACATGGTTATGGCTGCATAATGTGATAAAGTCCACAGTTCTTTCTCTACATTTCTGGAATCCTCAGGGCTCTGGAAACAGTCTTTCATCAACTCACTTGGTGGCGCAATGTCATGAGAAGTGAGACTATTTACAGTCTTTATCCAATTTAGTATAAATATTTGCATATGTTTTTTTGTAGAAATATTGCTATGTTTGATTAAAGTTTGCTTCTGAAACTCCACCAAGGATAAGTACCATCCAGGTATGTATTTCCCTTTTAGAAGTCATTTTTTAAACCATTAATATAATAGACCTATGTATTATCTCTTTAAAAATTATTTTTTATTATAATCATTATAATTATTTTTTGAGACAGGGTTTTGCTCTCTCTCTTGGGCTAGAGTGCAGTGGTGTCATCAGAGCTCATTGCAACCTCAAACTCCTGGGCTCTAGTGATCCTCCTGCCTCAGCCTCCTGAGCAGCTGTGACTACAGGCATGTGCCATCATGGCCAGTTAATTTTTCTATTTTTTGTAGAGTTGGGGTCTCACTCTTGCCCAGGCTGGCCTTAAACTCCTGTCCTCAGGTGATGCTCCCACCTCAGCATCCCAAAATGCTATGATTACAGGTGTGATACTAAGATGGTGTTAGCCATCTTGCCAAGCCTATTATTTTTTTAGAGTTAGGGTCTCCTTGGCTGGTGTGCAGTGGAGCAATCATGTCTCACCGTAATCTTGAACTCCTGGGCTCAAGCAATCCTCTTGGCTTAGCCTCTCAGGTAGCTGGGACAGATGAATGCCACTATGCCCAGCTAATTTTTAAATTTTTAGAGATAGGATCTCACTGCCCAGGCTGGTCTTGAACTTCTGGCCTCAAGAAATCCTCCCAGCTTAGCCTCCCAAAGTGCTAGGATTACACACTTGGCCAAAAATTATTTTTTAAAGTTGTATTTAAATATATATGACATAAAATTTGCCATTCTAACCATTTGTAAGTGTGCAGTTCAGTAGCATTAAATACATTGAAATTACTGTGCAACTATCAACACCATCCATTCACAGAACCTTTTTCAGCTTGCAAAACTGAAACTCTGTACCCCTCAAACAATAACTCCCTGTTCTCCTTTCTGCCCTAGTCCCTGGCAACTGTCGTTCTACTTTTAATCTCTATGAATTTCTCTACCCTACATACCTCATATGATTAGGATCATACAGTATTTGTCCTTTTGTGACTGGCTTATTTCACTTAGCATAATGTTCTCGATGTCCATCCATGGTGTAGCATGTGTCAGAATTTCCTTCCTCTTTAAGGATGTATATAATATTCTATGTATGAACCACATTTTGTTTATTCATTCTTCTTTTAATGGGCATTTGTATTACGTCTACCTTTTGGCTGTTGTCAATAATGCTGCTATGAACAAAAATGTCTTCATGTACCTGCTTTGAAATCTTTTGGTGATATACCCAGAAATGGAATTGCTGGGTTATACCATATTCAATTTTAAAACCAAAAAAATTCTGCATTTCAAAATTCATCAGCACCAAAGGTTTTGAATATGGAATTGTGGGCCTGCATTATGCTAATTGGGCAAACGAAACTAAATTTACCTTTTTGCCTTTCTATCTTGTTTTTTTAAATTTTTAAAGTTTATTTCCACAATTGACTATTATCACAGAATAAAGCTAGATTTAAAAATCAACATTTACTTTTCATACTGAACAAAGATTTTGGCAATAAGGATTCAGCTGTTAACTTAGTCCAACAATTGCTTTCCATTGTTTTCAACTTATTTCTTATATAGTTATATATAAACATATAAATCATATTTAATGGAGCACATGGGTATACATTAATATGCTCAAGATGATTTGAGTAGGGCTTGCAAAATTAAAAAAAGATCTTAAATGGTTTAATTATCTTTCCGTAACTACTTCCTAACTAGCCCATATCCTAATTCCACCACTTACTAGCTGTGTGATCTTCAGCAAGTTATCTAAGGTTTCTATGCCTCAGTTTTTTCATTTGTAAAATGTGAATAATAATATGTAAAACTACATAAAATTACTGATTTTCTGGTTTTTTTCCCTACAAAAATGATAAATTCATTGTTCAACCTAATACCTACCCCACAGGGTTGTTAGGAGGGCTCAAGGTGTTAATACCTGTAAGAGAGTGAGAACAGTGCTTGCCCCATACATAGGAAGTACAAGATACGTATTTGTTAAATAAAAAATAAGATGGTTAGGTGACCTTGGTTGAGTCCGTTGCCTGGCTGGTTCCATTTCCCCTCCAAAATGATACAGATTATACTAGACAGTATATAACAGTTCTAACATCATAGAATTCTACGCTTCTTTCTACAAGTTTACAATTTTGCTACTGTTCTTTTGATCTTGCACTTAATAGTCCTATGTCAATTAAGGGAAGGTGTCAAATAATTTTAGCCATGAAAAGGGAAATAATTGGCCCCAAATGGGAACATTTTCCCCCAGGGACCAAAGGCTGCGGACAGAGGCAGGTCTATACCCTGGTGCCGCTTTTCAAGCGGTGCCATAATCATGTCTGGGACAGAAACTAGTCACAGGAAGGCAGTGGAGTCCCTCTGCATCTCCTCCCCAGACTGCGAGATACCATAGACCTGGCCACCAGTGAGAAGGCTCACTGGACTCACCGTGTATGACCCGGGCCTGGGTTCCAAGGGCAGCAGCAAGGATGAGGAAGGGGAGGGCAGCGTCAGAGACCTTCATCCTCCCGGTGGGCAGTCAGAGCTGGCCTGAGGACTCCTGGGCTCGCAGGACCCCAGCTCTACCCTTGTATTTATAAGACCAGGAGGATCAGGAAGTCACAGGGCAGAAGTCAGAATGCCGTTCTTTGGCAATATAATAGGTAACACACTATTTCTAAAAAGGAGAACAAGGCTGAAAATGTAGCAGGAAGTAAAGGGCAAAGATGAGGTGGGTGTCCCTATGGACTCCTGGAACTGTCCTGATGGGTACAGGCAAAGAAAGTAAAAAAAATTTTTTTTTCTTTGAGACAGAGTCTCATTCTGCTACTCCAGGTAGAATGCAGTGGTGTCATCATAGCTCACAGCAACCTCAAAATCCTGGACTCGAGTGATCCTCCTGCCTCAGCCTCCTGAGTAGCTGGGACCACAGGTATGTGCCATGAGGCTCAACTGATTTCTCTACTTTTAGTAGAGACAGGGTCTCGCTTTTGCTCAGGCTGGTCTTGAACTCCTGAGCTCACACAATTCTCCCACCTCAGCCTCCCAGAGCTCTGGGGTTACAGGTGTGAGCCACTATATCTGGCCAAAAGAGTAAATTTTAAAAAGGACCCTTTCCTCTAGGAGATTCATGAATGCCCTAAATCAGAGGAGTTTTTTTCCTTCAGGAGTTAACCACTTCCAGGTGCCTAAGTAGCCTATAAACATGGGGACCCCCAGAGAGAAGACTCTAACTTGTAAACCTGGCTGTGTGATTCCCTGCACATTGTCTGGAGATATCTTTGATTCTTCTCTTTGTCTCCTACCCCACATCTAATTCATTAACAAGTACTTTGACTCTACGTCCAAAAATATAACCAGAATCGTATTATTCCTTGAAAGGAAAACTCCTGTTTCTCCTCTACTACTGTTCTCAATACTTCACTTCTGACACTCCCTACCTAGGGCTAGCACAGACTCCACAGGCTGATGGCTCGGTCCCCACGAGACTGCCTCCACTTCCGGTGCCAGTTGCCAATAGTGGGTCCCCAGATTACCCACAACTTCTGTCCCACTTGGCTACCAATAGAGGTTAATACCATGATCCCCTCCTGAGTGTGTTTCATTTGCTAGAATAGCTCACAGAACTCAGAAAGACAATTTACTTGTTAGATTATGGCTTTATTATTATAAAGGATACAACTCAGGAACAGCCAGATCAAAGAGATGCATGGAGCAAGATGTGTGTGTGTGTGAGGGGGGCAGAGAGCTTCCATACCCCCTCCAGGTGGAAGAGGCACCAACCTGGAAGCTCTCTGAACCCCACCTTTTTGGGTGTTTATGGAGGCTTAATTACATAAGCATGATTGCTGAAATCATTGGCCATTGGTGATCAAATCAATTTCTAGCCCCTCTACCCCTCCCTGGAGTTTAGGGGGTAGGGCTGAAGTCCCAATCTTCTAATGGTTGGCTCCCCTGGAAACCAGCCCTCATCCTTAGTCCAAAAGTCACCTCATTAACTGATGTTACAGTAACTGATGTTACTCAGGTGTGGTCAGAAGTACTATTAATGTGAGCTCTGATTTATGCAAACTGTATTTCAGAATATCGCCTCCCATTAACTTACTACTGTCTGTTCTCAAAAGACCTTTAGAATATTTAGTGGTCCCCTCATAATGGGTTGAATATTTGGACGGATACTCAATCAAATTTGAATGAGTCTTTTTGGGCTTGTAAAAAAATTACACTGTGTCTGTTGTTGTGAAGACAGCACTTATCCAAAGTATCAATATTCTTTGGTTTCTTATTCCTCCTTAAAATTCAAGCCAAAGCAGTTAGATATTTTATTGGATGTATTGCTTTAAACCAGAACCAAAGAATAAATGTTGTTTTTAGAAAAAATAATCAGGCCCAAGGGATGCTCATAAGGCTATGGGCGCAAGACAGTGAGGTGGCTTGTCCTGGCAACCTGGTGTTCATCTGTGACAGATGTCTTATTCGTGGGGCCCCTGATATCTGACTTCAGTCAGTTTGTCATGCAGTCCTTGAACTTGACTGTCCCCTGGGAGTGGCGGCAGACAGTTGCCCTTCTGGATGTAGAGCTGGGGACGGGTAGAAATCACGACACGTGAGGTGTGTTCAGCACAATGTTGAGGGGAGGCCCCATCTCCCTGCCCTTGGTTCCTCATCTTGGAAACAGCCTCCTCCTCTCAGCTGTGTGCAACTCTACCCATACCATTGTGAGACCCTCCGTCAGCCTGTGAGACCCTCTAGTAGCTCCTGGGATGTCTTAGGCAGCCTAGTGTCGCTCCTTCCTTCCGTCTTCCCTGCCCTTCTCTCCCTGGGGCATCTTCACTGATCCGAGAGGTTGCTAGAAGCACACAATGCTGCCCACCTGGCAGGATGGCAGAGGTGGGACTTTTCTGGACACCACCCCATCAGGCTCCGCTGTAAGGCCTGGCAGTCTCTCCGCCAACATGGTCGCTGAGTTCCACTACATGACACCAGCTGGGAAAGCTACTGCTCTACAAATAATCTCCATGATACACAGGTCCTTCTGGTGTAGAAAGCAGTCAGCAGGCGGTGAAGCCTGCAGTAAGAAATGGACGCACTGAGGGGGCAACCTTTTTTCCTCCAAGAGACTGTGCAGGGTCGAAAGGTGCAGGACTCAGAAGAGAAGGACTACCACCCTTGTTTCACACCCCTCCCCTGGTTTGGGCTGGTGATCTGAGACAGGCGCAGGTGGGCAGCCCACAGGGCCAGGAGCCATTCTCTGCCTAGAAGAGGAGGCATCTGCAGACACCGCAGGTGTTCCAGAGAGCCACTCGCCGCCAGGGGAGCAGGGAGTCTTGGGTGCAGCCATGGGGGGAATAGAGACAGGCAACAGGTGGGGAGGTCCGCCCATGGCCATCCGATCTTCCTTGGAGACGTCACCGCACCTTCAGAACCCTCCTGTTCTTCCCAGCTCCTGTAATGGCCTGGCCTGGGGCATAGTGAAGAGTCTGTACTCATTGCGCATTTAAAAAATATGCCTATCTGATGGTTTACCCCGAATCATCTGACGATGTCATCTTATGCATTTCCATCCATGAGTTCTTTGTCTCTGTACTGTAAGCAAGACAGACAGGGCAGGGAGAGAAATGGCTGGAAGCAGCATTTGTCTCAAAATCTCCACCTGTCCCACCGTCCGGTCACTCTCATCCGATGGAGAGGCTCTGATTTGGACGCACTGCGCACTTGCCGCGGCAGTGCAGAAACAGGGTTCTAGCCCTGTTCCCTGGCCCATCTTGCTGTTCCATTAGGGCCCCTGAAGATTACTGGAGACATGGAGACGGTTGTTTAACTTTGCAGTATTAACATCAAGCTGTACATCTAACATGGTTTAGGCCTGGCATAATGATAAATCCACAAGTTCTTCTCTACATTTCTGGAAATCCTCAGGGCTCTGGAAACAGTTTCATCCAACTCACTTGGTCGGCGCTAAATGTCATGAGAAGTGAGACTATTTACAGTCTTTACATTTGTATTAATATTATGCATCATGTTTTTGTTGTAGAAATGCCCTATGTTGATACAAGTTGCATTCAACCCACAAAGGATAAGTACCACCAGGTATGTATCCCTTTAGAAGTCATTTTAACGCATCGATATCATAAGACTATGTAGTATTCTTAAAATATTTTTATATAATCATTAAATATAATTTTTGAGACAGGGTTTTGCGCCTCTCTCCTGGGCTAGAAGTCGGAGTGGTGTCATCAGAGCTTCATTGCAAACCTCAAACTCCTGGGCCTAGTGATCCCCTGCCTCAGCTCGAGCACCTTGTGATACAGCATGTGCCATCTGGCCAGTTTTTTTATTTTATTGTAGAGTGGGTCTCACCTCTTACCCAGGCTGGCCTTAATCCTGATTCACTATAGGTGATCTCACCTCAGCATCCCAAAATGCATGATCAGGTGTGTATACTAAGATGGTTTAGCCATCTGCCAACCGATTATCCTTTTTTAGAGTAGGGCTCCTTGGACTGGTGTACGCAGTGAGCGATCAGATCGTCTCACCGTAATCTGAATCTGGGCTCAAGCCAATCCTCTGGCTTAGCCTCTCTACTGGGACAGATGAATGCTTACTAGCACAGGCTATTTTAAATTTTAGAGTAGGATTCACCTGCCCAGGCTGGTCTTGAACTCTGGCCTCAAAAATCCCCAGCTTAGCTCAATGAGTGCTAGATACACACCCTGGCTCAAAATTACTTTTTTAAGTGTATTAATATATGACATAAATTCCATTCTACACCATTTGTAAGTGTGCAGTTCAGTAGCATTAAATACATTGGAAATTACTGATGGGCAACAGCAACACCCATCCATTCACCAGAACCTTTTCAGCTTGCCAAACTGAAACTCTGTAACCTCCTCAAACAAAACTCCTTTCTCCTCTGCCTAGTCCCGTCAACTGTCTCTAGCTTTTAATCTCTATGAATTTCACTACCACTACAATACCTTCAATATGAGTGGATCTATACAGTTTTTTCCTTTTGTGACTGGCTATTTCAGCTTACATAAAGTTCGTTGAGTCCTCACCATTGTGTAGCATCGTTTCCAGTAATTCCCTTCCTCTTTTAGCGAATGTAATAATATTCTATTTAATGACACATGTTTGTTTAATCATTCTTCTTTTAATGGGCAATTGTATTAAATCTACTGTTTTGGCTGTGTCAAAATGCATGCATGAACAAAATGTTCATGTACGCATGCTTGAATCTTTGGGATATACCAGAAAGTGAATTGCTGGATTATACCAATCACAACACAAAACAATCTGCATTCAATTCATCAGGGCACCAAAGGTTTTGAATATTGGAATGTGGCCGCATATGCAATGGGCGCAACAAAAAATCTTTGTTTCATCTTGATTTTATTAAAATTTTAAAGTTTATTTCACCAAATTGACTATCTACACAGAATAAAGCCTAGATTTAAATCAATCACTTTCATAACTGAACAGTTGCAATAGATTCAGCTGTTAACTTTAGTCAACAATTTGTATTTCATTGTTTATCAACATTAATCTTATATCATTTCCAGTTGGGTTCCTGGAACCTGACCAGAGGAACTTTAAAGGTAAGAGCTAGTCAAGCTGCCACCCCAATGGAGAGCTGGAATGTCCTCAGATTAGGGGCTGGGAGATGCTCCCGGGCACAGATGATTCGTAGCCCTCACCACTCTATCCTGGACCTTCACGTGCCCCAAAAGCCTATAATCGGGGGTGACCACCAGGGGCAATTCTGTACCCTGTAACCTTGGCCGTGCGATTCCACAGACAGGCTCTGCCAGTGGCTGCTCACGGACTTAGGGTCAACTCCTAAGTTTCTGTCTGAGTGCAGAAGGCCCTTCAGAATAGGTTCTCTGCATACAGAACTCCTCTCTTTTTCAATATACTGACATTTTAATACATTTTAAAATTGACAGTTAATGATGCATTCATTCATTTAGATTTTATCCTTTTTGTCTTTTAGAGTGAATAAATTTTTTCAAGACCCCAATAGTAGGTGCTTAGTGGATAAATTGGTCTTATGCAGTACTAATTCCTACTAACCCATCAATTCTTCTTAGCAATCACCTCTGCGGACAGACTGCTTGGCTTTCTTGCCCCCTAGGCTGGGCCCAGTGTCCCTCCTAAGTGCTTCTGTAGTGACTGATACTTATTAATAAAGCTACTATAGCACTTGTCACAGTCTATTTTAAATGCTTCTGTACTTAATGGCTCTCCATCCCCCACCAATATAACAAGTGTGTGTGTGTGTGTGTGTGTGTGTGTGTGTAGTTAACAAAAAAACCCCCAACACATAAGATGAGATCTACCTTGTTAAGAAACTTCCCAGTGTGCAGTTATAAGGTCCTTGAAGAATGTCTCCAAGAAGGAGATAGTTACCATAAAACGAATCATGTGAGTCTGTAAGTACAATTGCAGATGATGATAATGAAATGAAGGCAAGCATTTCTCTTTTGTTTAATTAGAAAAGTCAATTAAGAATTGCTGGAAAATAAGAATCAACATGAGATTATCGTGGGTTAAACATTAAGTCAATGAAACTGTGTCATTTGAGGACATAATGACGTGAACTAAAATGAAATCTTCAGCTCCCCAGCTGACTGACTGGATCCCCTCTTGGCCAAGGGGACCCCAGAAAATACCCTAAAGCTGAGTTGCTGGCCATGAGAAGGGAGGTGAGGCAATCCTCGTCACAACCCCCGCCCTTCTTAGAGATGGCCTTTGTAACTCATTAACAGGTGCAGGGCTCAAACCACACCTGCAGGTTATCAATTAACAGATCACATGAGCTATGCCTGGTGACTTGTCTCTGATTAACAGACTTCCTTATCTTAAAACATGCCAGGGCTTTAGACAGAGCTACATTTCTTTTCCTTTTTTTTTTTTTTTTTTCTGCTACAAAAGGCATGAGACAGTCTCCACAAAGCTTCATTTCTTTAACCTATTATAAATCAAAGAACCTTTAAACGCACCTATAACCTGTAATTCCCCACTTTGAGATGTCCTGCCTTTTTGTCCAAACCCATGCACACCTTCCATGTGTTGATTTATGATTTTACATGTAATTCCTGTGTCCTTGAAATGCATAAAACCAAATTGTAACCCACCCACTGCGAGATCACTTGCTCAAGGCTTCTTGGGCGTGGCTCCCGGGCAATGGTCACACATATTTGGCTCAGAGTAAACCTCTTTAAATCCTTTTACGGAGTTTAGGTTCTCTTCTGTTGGCAAAGTAAACAACACTTTTCTAAACTGTAGTCAAACTTTCCAAGATTAGCTATCTTAGTAGGGAGCAGAAGATGAGACATAATGTGAATTTGTTTAATCTCTTTAGGGTTATAATAATTCCCAGCTTTCCCCATTATCTGAGGACTTTTTCTACCCTAGTAGTGATTTAGCCTTACAAAGGTCATTTGGGTATGGATCACTTTTCTCCTATCGAATTTGTAGGCAAATCACCCTAAAAGCTTAGGTTTTAAACTTTGTTTCCAAATACATAATATTTTGTTGTTGTTTAGAATTCAGTGCTATCTTTTGAATTTTATGAGACAGTTGACCAAGATATACTCATTATAAATATAAACTGCTGTGGTTTAATAGAGGTGCATATAAAATTGATATTAATGTTATCTTTAAATGTTTTTCTTAATATACTTTAACTTTAGGGGAGAAATCTCTTAGAAACTTATATCTGTTAAGAAAAACATCTAAAAATTAGAATTAGGCAAAAGGATGCCTGCATGCTTTTCAATGTCATATTTGAATATGGTCTAATAGGACCACAGCAGGATTCCTGAAATCTGTAGGGGAATGTGCTTTTGATTGATGTTCTATTTACTATCGATTAGGCCCTAGACATTATGAAATTATATGTTAACTTGTAAATTTTTGTCTAGCACACATGAAAATGATTTCTGTTCACTAGAAAAGATTAACCCAAAAGGTTCCAGTTTTATTATTGCCATGTACACAGGATATTATTGTGAGCTCTAATTTAGCAAACTGATTTCAGAATATCGCCCCCAATTAACTGTACAACTGTCTGTTTCTCAAAAGAACTTTGAATTATTTTAGTGGTCCCCTCACTAATGGGTTGAATACATCTTGGATGCATACTCAATCTAAATTTGAATGAGTCATCTTTTTGGCTTGTAAGAAATTACACTGTGTCTCTTGTTGTGAAGACAACACTTATCCAAAGTTCAATAATTCTTTCGGTTTCTTATTCCTCTTAAAATTAAAGCAAAGCAGATTAGATATTCTTTATTGGATGTATTGCTTTAAAACCAGAACAGAAGAATAAATGTTGTTTTTAGAAAAATAATTCAGGCCAAGGGATGCTCATAAGGCAGTTGGGGCAAGACAGCTGGAGGTGGATTGTCTGGCCACTGGTGTTCCATCCTGTGAGCAAGTGTCCTTATTCGTGGGCCCCTGATATCTGATTTTAGCTTCAGGTTTGTCATGCAGTCTTGAACTTGACTGTCCCTGGGGTTGGCGCAGACACGTTGCCCCTTCTTGGTGTAGAAGCTGGGGACGGGGTAGAAAGATCACACACTGAGGTGTGTTCAGCCAATGGAGAAGGGGAGCCCCATCCTCCCTGCCCCTTGGATTCCTCATTTGAAACAGCCTGTCCTTCCCCTTCTCAGCTGGTGGCAGCTCACAACCAGTACCTTGTGAGTCTCTCCCTCAGCCTGTGAGACCCTCTAGTGACTTCTGGGCATGTCCTTGGGCAGCCTAGTGTCTGCTCCCTCTTTCCTTCCCTGCCCTTCTCTCTGCTGGGGGCATCTCATCCCTGATCCTTCCCAAGGTGCTAGTAAGCACACTAGTTGCCCCTTACTTGGCAGGATGCAGAGGGTGGAACTTTTTTGGATACCCCCCCATCAGGTCCTCCCTGTAAGGCCCTGCAGCTTCCCTCTCCCCAGCACATGGTCGGTGAACTTGGCACTTACATGACACCCGGCTGGGAACACCTACTGTTCGTTACAAAATAATCTCTCATGAATACACAGCGGATGCTTCTTGATGTGTAGGATAAGCAGCAATCAGCAGGAAGTTCCATGGCTGTAGCAAGAGAAAGGACCACTTAAGGGCCAAGCCTTTTTCTTCAGGAATATTGTGCAGGGTCAAAGGTGCAGGACTCAGAAGAGAGGATTCCTCCAGCCCTTGCTTCACACCCTCCCCTGGGTTGGGCTGTGTGTGTGAGGACAGCCAGGATGGGCCACAACAAGGCCAGGAGCATTTACCCCAGAAGAGGAGGGCATCTGCAGACACCTGTATGTGTCAGAGAGCACCCTCTGCCCATGGGAGCAGAGTCTTGGGTCAGCCATGGGGGAATAGAGAAGGCCATGGGGGAATAGAGAAGGCCCTGGGGGAATAGAGAAGGCAACGGTGAAGGAGGTCCCCATGGCCATCCTTATCTTCCTTGGAGTTGTTACCACCTTCAGAATCCTCCTGTTCTTCCCACAGCCTCTAAATAGGCTGGCAGGAGGCCATAGTACAGATCTGTACCTCCTTGCTTCTTTTTTTTCCCCCCTTGCTACTTTTAAATATATGCCGTATCTGATCATTTACCTTCATCCAATACTAAAGATCCAAGCGGAAGCTTTTCCATCACGAGTTCCCTTGTCTCTGTATCTGGAAGAAAGAGACAGGGCTGGGAGATAAATCACTGGAAGACAGCATTGTCTCAGAGTGGCCACCCACCCCGCTCCCCACCCCCATCCCGAGGGAGAGGCTCTGATGCGGGACCACTGCCACCTGCCTGGGTTCTAGCCCTGTTTCCTGGCCCATTTGTTCCATTAGGGCCCTGAGATTCTTCAGAGACCTTTTGAAAATGTTAGGGGAGCCGAAACCATTAGAAGATTGGGGACTTCAGCCCTACCCCCCTAAACTCCAGGGAGGGTAGAGGGCTAGAAATTGATTTGATCACCAATGGCCAATGATTTCAGCAATCATGCTATGTAATTAAGCCTCCATAAACACCAAAAAGGTGGGGTTCAGAGAGCTTCCAGGTTGGTGAGCACGTGGCAGTAGGTGCTGAGAGGTAGGTGCCCTTCCACCTGGAGGGGTATGGAAGCTCTCTGCCCCCCTCAACACACACACACACTTCTCCATGCATCTCTTTGATCTGGCTCCTGAGTTGTTATCCCTTTATAATAATATAAGCCATGATCTAACAAGTAAATTGTCTTTCTGAGTTCTGTGAGCTATTCTAGCAAATGAAACACACTCAGGAGGGGATCATGGTATTAACCTCTGATTGGTAGCGCAAGTGGGACAGAAATTGTGGGTAATCTGGGGACTCACTATTGGCAACTGGCACCGGGAAGTGGAGGCGGTCTTGTGGGGACCGAGCCATCAGCCTGTGGAGTCTGTGCTAGCCCTAGGTAGGGAGTGTCAGAAGTGAAGTATTGAGAACAGTAGTAGAGGGAGAAACAGGAGTTTTCCCTCTCAAGCAATAATACGATTCTGGTTATATTTTTGGACACGTAGAGTCAGAAGGTACTGTGTTAATGAATTAAGATGTGGGGTGTAGGAGACAAAGAGGAGAATCAAAAGATAATCATCCAGCAGACAATGTGCATGTGGAATCACACCAGCGCAGTTGTACAAAGCTTAGAGTCTTCCTCTCCCTGGGGGTCCCCACATGTTATATAGGCTACTAGGCACCTGGAAGTGGTTAACTCCTGAAGAAAAAAAAACTCCTCTGATTTAGGCATTCCATGAATTCCTAGAGAAGGGTCCTTTTTAAAATATTTTACTGCTTTTGGCCGCAGATATTAGTGGCTCAA